GCCACATAAGCAAGTTACTTAATAAACAGAAGAAGACTAAACTACCCCTATTCGACACATCTTAACAAAATTGAACTTTGATGGGAGCAGTCGAGGCAATCCGGGATTGTCAAGGATTGGAGGAGTCTTGAGAACTGAGGATAGCAAGATCTTATCACTGTTTTCAGGCCCGACGGGAGTAGGTGATTCTACAAGGGCTGAGCTGCTGGCTGCTGTACAAGGAATTCAGATCGCCGACCAACTTGGGATAGAGAAGTTACTGATTGATGGGGACTCTAAGGTGATTGTGGGCTGGTTGCAGAACCCCAATTCAGCTACTCGGAGCTATAGGGATCTTATGAAAAAATTTAAATGGTTAACAAGACACATGATCATTAGAGTCAAATGGGTGGATAGGTTGGCAAATGCTTTTGCTAACTGTCTTGCCAAACAAGGGGTTTCTAGGGAAGAGCTTTTTTTGGGCAAGTCTGTAATTTATTATTGTTTTTTTTTCTTGTTTCACTGTAATATCTAGAAGAGGCTGCATCTCGTGCTATGTAAGTTAATTCACATTTTAATTATCAAAAAAAAATTATTTAAGCTTTTACATAATAAACTATTTCTGTGATATGTAAGTTAATACTATATGTTAGGATGTGCACACAGCATATCATAGCCCTGAGTGATTAGGCTACCATACTCGATGTTGATGCATCCAGTATTGGACTTTATCCCTTCATGTGTGCATCTTTTGCCATAGGGATGGTGAGAATGCAAATCATTTGTTTCCTTCTTGTCCTTTTAGGCCAAGGTATGGAACCTTTTTTTCTCTCTTTGATTATGTTTGGGTATTACTGAAATTACTATTGGAATGCACTAGAGCAGCAATTCTATGGAGTAATTGGAACAAATGATTGGATATGCACATAGGGAATTGACAAGGGAAAAATTCAAGGGAGTCACATGGACTCCTTGATTAGAGGATGGATGGGTCACAAAGACTGGATATGCATAAAGAAGACAACAAATGAATGCCACATGAGCAAGGCATGGCTGGGAAGATCAAAGTTTAACTTCAAAAGTTGCAGCCTTAGCAACCCAGAACCGTCAGGTATTGCAAGTGTAGTCAGAAACATCCTACTCATTTACAGAAATCTGGTGTTGGTAGGAAGCTCATAAATAGCTTAAATGGTGGCTCTTTTGCAAGGACTAAAACTTGGACTCACATCACATTGAACAGAACTGATTTTAGAAGGTGATCGTAGAGTGGCAATTGGGTAGACATCCTCAATGAATGAGGGATCGTGGCTCCTACAACAATTGATAAGAAAACAATGATCCTGACAACCCATATGAACCGATTGTTAAATTTCATTTCCCAGATTGATGGATAGTTTAGTGGATGCACTAGCAAAGGGCAGGAATCAGCGTAATGACTTGCGTTGGGGATCAGCAGGTCCAGGGGTGGATAGATTAATTGTTTAATAAAGTGGTACTGTTATAAGATGCATATACAATTTTCTGTTATCTACAAAAGTACACTTATCTGAATTTGACTTTCCAACTATCTTATTGAGAATCCCTTCTTTTGAAGATTTCACTGCATCAACTCTCCTAGTTCCCTCTTGTTTTGTTATTGCTTCATTTCAGAGCTAAGTTTATACATCAAACTGGGACCCAAACCCAAGAGCACTCAAAAGAAGAGCAACCCAGGGCCCCTGGTGACTCTAGCTCGTGTCAAACTGGTATTGGAGCCAGTTATGGGGAGGAGGCACGTTTGAGCAACTTGAAGCTGTTGTTAGAATGATTTGTTAGTTATTTCTGCTGTTATAGTTTTTTATGCTGTTAGTCTTAGGGTCCTGCCAGCTTGTTTATTGCCTTTTATTATTGTTTTTTTATTAGGGTGTGCCGCCAGGGGCAAACATGTAATTTTCCTCTTTTATTTTTATCTCATTAATATAAATAGAAAGCTGGGTGCTGCCGGCTAGAAGTTTTGGCTCCCAAACAGCCATTCTCTCTTCTCCTTCTCTTATCTTCCTCTTCTCTTCTCTCTTATTCTCTCTTCTTCCTTTCTTCTCTTCTTCCTAGAAGAAAACAGAAGCCAATCTCCTAGAAGAACACAGAAGGTTCCACTGGCATCTTACCACTTGCAAAGGGATGCTAGCTAATGGTATCAACTTTTGAAGGAGGATGTGGGCTCAGTTGGTTGGGAGACTCTAAAGGAAGGGTTGCTTGAAAGATTTGGGCCTACTCACTACAAGGATTTCTTCAGAGACTTGACAACATTAAGGCAAACCAACAATGTGAAACACTATCACCACTAAAGCTCCTAAAAAAATGTAGTAAGCTGTCAACAGATCATAAGGTCGGCTGGTTCATTAATGGACATACAAGATGGGTGCCCATCCACCCTCACTGCAGCAATTGGGCTGGCCCAGTTGTATGAGACATGCCACCAACTTCCTAAAAGTCCCACTATCCTTGAACAAAGGTGTGTTACACCTCCAAGCCCAAGCCCGACATCCAAGTCCATTGGACCTATCATCAAGAAGATGACCCCTGATGAGTTGTTTGGCCAAAGAGAGAAGGGGTTGTGTTTTAATTGTGATGAGAAGCTCACACTCGGTCATCACTGAAAGCAGTTATTCTTGATTGAGGCATGGTGGCTAGAGTAAGGAGAAGAAGATATAGATGTCATCGGGGCCATTTGGCAAGCCTTTTTTGAAATATCTTCTGGAAGCTCTGACAGTCAAAAGACGTAATGACCTTTTGCATCAAGATCTTGACAGCCTAAAGACCGTTTGGTTTAAGGTGTCTTTCCGCGCGAAGACGAGTTGAAAAAAATCCGAAAAACTCCATTTGGATCTTCTCAAAAATAGCCCAAAACGGACTTCATGTGTCTTTTTGGCGCAATGTCTTTTGGCGGCTAGATCTCCTGTGAACCAAATGGAAAAAGACCACAACGCGGTCTTCTAGTCCTCTAAATAGCCGGCAGACCGCGCAAAAAGACGCGCCAAACAAGGCCGTCATCAATAAGGAAGAAACTTTGGCAATCTCTTTGCACACTATAGTTGGGTCTCTTACACTCCAAACCATGAGAATCCAAGGTTGCAATGGGAGAGTTGAGGTGTTCGTGGCCTTGGCTTGCTAGCACCTGATCAGGTTTGGCACTCAAAGATGCAAAAATTGACTCCATTCTTTTTGCATCTGCTCCTGTCCAGATGCCAATCCCAGGGGATTGGCTTGAAGTTCCTCCAAACGTGCCTCCTCCCCCACAACTGGCTTTAATACTGGTTTGAGGTGTCATCGGGGACCCTGAATGGCTCTTCTTTTGAGTGCTCTTGGGTTTGAGACCCATTTTGACAAATGAATTTAGCTCTGAAATGAAGCAAATAACAAAACAAGAGGGAAACTAAGAGAGTTGGTGCAGAGAAATCTTCAAAAGAAGGGATTCTCAATAAGATAATTTAAAAGTCAAAATCAAATAACATTCGTACAAGACCCAACTTCTTAATATAGCTATGTGAGAGAGAAATGTTCGCTGATGGGCCGTTTGAGAGCCCAAAAAACTCATTCTCCTTATTCTTCTACTACCTAACCGGAAAAGTACATAATACTTAACTAATTGACTCAACTAACACCAACTTTATTGAGATAATGGAGATGACATGGTGCTTGACCATCCCTCCACTATCCATGCACGTAAAATCTACACAGCATATTTTACTTTTTAGATTTCTAAATTAATCATGATAGAACAGGAAATAAAAAATATAAATATTCTAGTAATGATTGTCACCTTGGTATGTGGCCAGGGTGCCAAATACTAAGGTGCCCAAAGGTGTCTAACATGTCAACCTTAGAAACCATCAATTGTGGCATGGTCATAACTCGTAAACAAATATGAAATCAATGAAAACTAAGAGAAACTTGGAAAATGAAAGTCTTGGCACCTTAACCTAACTTGATTTTCTTTTTCATGAGTGTTGTATGCTAAAATTCTTTGATCAGTTTAGCTTGAATTATTAACAAGTTACAAGATTTACCACAACAAATGTTAGGTATTGGCATAATATCATAGATTTATAATTAGGGCACAGTTTGACTAATTATTTTCAAAGGTATCACTGTAACAGTATCAAGTAATATAAAACACCAATAATAGTAGAAAATAGAAATAATGCTCAACTTGCCTGAGTCAGTGTTGTTGCATCAACAATAATGAAAGGAACATTTACAAGCTGTGTCAGGGTTTTTGCAAGTAAAGTCTTCCCTGTCCTTGAAACAATATTGTAAAGTCACAATCAAACCAGTAACCAGATAAAAAAAGAGCACAAATATTGCAAAATAGTTCCACTAAAATTGTTCAGTTTCAGTTTTATTTTTACCCCCCCCCCCCATTGTAAACTATCAAAAATCAATTAGAAAGAATTAAATATAGTAGAAAAAGAAAGACAATGAGAAAAAAGAAAAAGAGTTAGAGAAAGGCAATAATTTTTAGAGAAACATCCAATCTTTCTTCATTTCCAAAAATATAAAGCATCTTTACAATGATTTGACAATTGTTTATTATCTATTTTAAAACATCTTGAGTTCTGCCACAAATATGAACAATTTCTAAAAATTTTCTATTTTACTAACATTTCCACCACAACAAATGTCTATACCTTGTCTAGCATCCCATTAAAAAAAACAATGGTATATACCTGAGCCAGTTGGACCCATTAGAAGAATGTTACTTTTCTCAAGCTCCACTGAATCATTATCTATCTCATCTCCTTCACCACCACTTGAATCATTCAACATTGAAATAATAAAGGTTAGAAGCAAAAATGATCAATGAATAATATCAATACCCGGTCTCAACTATCAAAAGAAAACTAGATAATGCATATGATAAGCAATATACCTGAACAATTAAATTTACTAGTATCTACTGTGCGTTGTAAGGACAGGCTTCCAATGTCATAGACCAAAGGTGGGAACCCCCCTCCCCCCCCCCTAGATGATCTTAGACCAAAACAGATGATGCTTACTGTTCAAATTTATTGCACTTAATTGAAAGAAAGAAAATTAAAAAGTTGAAAGGGGATTGATAGATACTAGTTATAATCACCAAAAAGGTTAATTTTCTGAACATAGTAGAACTGAACCCATCCAGTAGAAGGTCCACCCCATTGCATTGATTTGCTATATAAACTATGGCATTGATAGTCAATTCACAGAAAACCGAGGTTTCCTCATTGGAAATATATATCGCAGAGTTTAAATCACAAAACAACCAAAAAGGCTGAAGAACTATGTGCTCAGCTAACGATTTTTGTATAGACTCATGATATATCCGTTTGTAATGGTTGTAGACTGCCACAGAAAGCACCTGAGTTAAGAACATAGAATTAGGGACCAGACGTAAAATGAAAACAATGAACAAAATAAGGATTGCATTTTGAGATATAAAAAACTTACATGAAAAAAGTATATATCAGGTATAATTTCAATCAAGAAGCATAAATGATGAATCAAACCAAAAAGCCTAAGATTACCTTCTTAGCGTGTTCTTGGCCAATTACAAACTTGTCAAGCCTTCTACTGATTTCCTTCGGGGTCGGGAAGTTGGCGCCTCCCCAGCAGCCATCCTTTGAACTCGAGCCAGAGGCGCCTCCGGAATCGGGAGCCACTCCGCCGCCACCGCGAACCAAACTCATGTTCTGGTCAACCCGTAAGTGCGTCTCCATGGAATTGCAAGTACTCAGGGGGTTCCCCATAAGACCTCAAACTATTCGAGGGACTAGGACTACCGGATTCCCTGCACCTATCCCTACTGTGATCCAAGACAGTTTTTTGATCATCCAAATACCCAGTTCCTTTATCGACGAAATCCCCTTGGAAATAAACCAATCTAAACAAACTAAAGTAGTAGGGTGTCTTGGTGGGAAAATCGTCGCATTTTCTTCGGAATTTGCAGTGAGTATTGAAGATTCGACCAACGTGCATGTGGTTCAAAACGAAGTACCTAGACTGGGAAATAGTTTTAGAGGCAAAGCTAGCAAAACAGAGCTTTGTAAATTCGCCCGCGAGTTAAAACGTAAAGGGCTTGCAGATTGAAAAACTAAGTTTAATTGCAAATAGCAGGTCCAGCTCAAGAGGACTTGTGCGTCGAGGAAGAAGAACTTAACCGAAACACCACAAATATTACACAACTGTACAGAGTTCAGAGGAGTTACAATTTTCGAGTATCTTGGGATACTGGGATGGGAACTGCAGTTCCGCTCTAAAAAACAAGGAGGAAATTTTCCTTCCAGGTGAATGAAACAAGCACGTATGTATATTTGAAAAAATCTTTAGAGTTGGCGTGAGACAAATATCCCCAAACCCCTGTTTGAAAATTTTGAAAATTCGTTGGTAATGATAAAAAAATAATCGTATGTCTTTGTGATGGTGACTCAGTTGGTAGTCTCTGATTCGTCCGAGTAGAGACCTGGGATTAAATCTCGCTGCCACCAGGGGTTTGGGGGTTAAGGGAAAGGGGATGGGCTACCCCTGTTGTGTACCATGATGCAAAAAAAAAAAAAGAATATGACTTTATTCTCTAACATTTGTAACTTTTTACTAGACTAGATGAGCATTTGATTGTAATTAATTGTTTTATGGATGATAGATCATCACATTTAGTTGATGAAAGAGTTTTGATGAGGGCAGATTTGGCCCTCCAGTGAAATTGCAACACGTGGCACCTCGTGACAACTAGGCAAATACCTAGGCAACAATTTACCAAGTTGGTATCCCACCCGGGCACCGGTCTGGCCGGCTTGGCGCGACCTACATGCGGGCTACGGGCGGC